GGGGACCCTGAGCAGAGGAAAGGCTGGAATGGGTGTTGCCACACTCACCACTGTTTCACTTTGGCAAGTCATTTGATGGTGCCGAGGCGCCATTCACTGCAGGGCTTTTCTGGAGGTTAATAATGATGTGGAGGCGCCTCGCCTAGGATGGGTTGCAGCTCATCTGCTGCAGGGCCAGGTTAGGAGAGTAGGTGCAGAGGCCAGGGAGTCCGAGGAAGGAGGGGTTTGCTGCCAGCTGCCCTCGCCGCCTGGGCAGCCCATCTCCAGAGTGCCAGACCAGGCCTCATCCAGTTCCTAGATCTACTCAGGCTGCCGTAAAATGACAGCGCAGACCACCAGTGGGCAGGAGGGAAGCCAGCGTCCTTGAGATCACTGGGTTCCTGGCAGTGTGCTGAAGGCTCGTCTCCCCACCCTCACTCTGCCTGACTCCACAAATGGAATTGAAGACACAAAAGTTAGCAGGAGGGGACACTGCACCCAGTCAGTGCTGTTGTGTCTTCTGGCTAAGCCATAAAACAGGAGAACAAGAGTGACAGAGATGCTCCCTTTGAACTTGAAATCCTTTCTAAACTGCCACTCCAGCCCCAATGAGACCCCAAGACTAGCAAGCAAGAGGTAGCTCCTTGGGCCCCTCCTCAGAGGGTCAAAAAGAGCCCATTCGCTCCTCACCTTATCCCGGATGTTTAAAAAAATATTGTGGTAATGTAGGTCAGTGAACTGAAGGGCACCACACACCAGCAGGATTACGGGGCCCTGCAGCCTGCGCGCTGTCCCGCTCAGTCAGATGAGAACATAAACAAGAAGTGCTGGAGCGCTCAGCTTCCTCAGCCCCAGGCTTTTGTTTATGTAGCACTTAAACCAACTTTGGGGTCGTAGCTGTCTGCCATGAAAGCCCTGAAGCTTTTTGAAGTTCCCCTGAAGTTAATAAAATTAGTCTGCCCTCATTGCAAGACCCTGGCTTGGGGAAGGATGGATCCTCTCCTGTCTCTGTGGCATTTAGCTTTTTAAGTTAATATTTTATAACCAAAAGAAAGGAGGGGGCAGGGGAGCAGATGCAGTAAAAAGTCTTGTGGAAGGCCTTTTTGCTAGTAGGTAGCACGCCTGCCCCACCACGGCTCTGATCACTGTGAAGCCCAGCCACCAGGCCCATTGGGATGCCCAATGGTGGCCAGCTGTGTTGTAGTGTGGGCAATGACCAGCATTGGGGTATGAGAGAGAACTAGGCCTGGGGCGGGGTTGTTGGCTCACCCTTTGATGGAGTGTATCCCCAAACACATGTCCACTTGAGTGAGTGACTTTTACCCACAAAGAGCCAAGAGCCACCGTTCCTTACCTGTCTCTCCCTCCTGCTCCACATAATGTGTGTTTTCACTGGGACTTGCCATGGGCCATTTGGACAGAACCCCCAGTGTGTCTGGTAAGAGGGACAGACAGGCCAGCTGTCAGCGATGAGACAGAGCGGCCAAGCTCAGGGGACGGGGGGGTCTGCGACGTGGGGAGGCTGCCTGAAGGAGGGCATGCCCAAGCAGAGCTGGGAGGATTGGGTGGGTTCCTGGGGGCAGAGTTGGGAAGACCTTGGGAGGGTTGGAAAGGGGGAGGCATGGCAAAGGGGCATGAGGAAAGTTGGGGGTGATGGATATGTTCATCAGCTTGATTGTGGTGATGGTTTCATGGGTATACAGATATCTAAACTTACCAAATGATGTACCTTAAACATGTGCCTGCTGTTGTATATCAGGTATGCCTCAGTGAAGCTGTTAAAAACAGCAGTCCACAGGCACGTGCAGGTGTGGCAGACGTGCCAGCCACCCCAGTTAGGCAGCCTTCAGCGTTTATTCAGGACCCGAGGAGCACAGAGGCAGCGCAGGGAGCACAGCGTGGAGGAGAGGCACACACTTCTGCCTTGGTGGACCTTGAGTCCTGGTGGGAGCAATAAACGAGTGCTAGATAAAGCTGTGACCTACTGTCAGGGAGCCCACTGTGCTGTGCAGACAGAGACAGGACGAGGAGCAGGGCCGGGTGCAGGCTGAAGTGAGCCGTGGCGGCTGGAGGGGCTCTGCAGCCCGCAGGCCTGGACTGGGGCCCACACAGAGATGGGGGCGCCCTGTCTCTGCCAGCATACAGTCCACAGACAGGGGGGCTGGAGGGAGAATGTAAACATTACCTTCCCCTGGGATACGTGTGAGCCCCCTGAGGCAGGAGCTTGGATCTGTTCACGACTACACGCTGGCACACGGTAGGCTCTCAGTAAGCATTTGTAGAAAGAAAAGAAGAACATTATTGTGCATTTGCTGAGAACTTTCTGTCCAAGAGAACACCTGCCTATATGAGGCAGTTTGGTCCAGTGCGGCCTTTTATAAGGTGGTTCTCTAAGTACATTGTAAGCTCCTGGTGCAAGGACTGGGCCTTTTTCATTCCTCGGCCAGCTGCGATGCTGGGGGCAGATCTTGTGTCTCAGCTGGCTCTCTCTCAAGCTGGCAAAGACCTGGGACCCATCCGTCCTGCCCAAAAGGGTCCCGGGGCATCTTGGCAGCCCCGGGCCTGCCTGCTTCTCCAGCCTGGAGCGAGTCAGCCCCAGTCTTTCATCTTTAACGGTTCAGCATGGGCTTTGCAAAGGCCTAGCCGACTTGGGTTTGAATTTCCTCTGCCACTGATTCGGGTGACTGCAGCCCACTCCGATCTCATCTCTGAGCTCGGCTCTGATCTCTCTGAAGTAGGAATGAAAACAAGGCTGTCGAATGCAGACAAGGGCACTCGAGGGCTCAGTGGGACCCCGCTAATGCCTGGATCAGCGTAGGCTGAGCTGCTCTGAGGGGCTGAGGTGCTCTCTTTCTCCCAACCGCAGGTGGCCTCCCAGCAGTTGAGGCTGAGTTTGGAATAGGAGGGGGCACTCAGCATCTTTAGTCATGGTGAACAGGGATTGTCTAGTCCAGAGCCATTGGGTCAGTTCAGCTAAATGTCCTCATCACCTACTGTACCAGGCTCTGCTGCCAAATATGAATAGGTGGGCTCTTCCCTCCCAGGCTCCTGGCCAGGATGGAAATGGAGCTCCGCACAAAGGCCCTTCTGGTGGGTGTAGGAACGGGGCTCCTGGGAGCCATGAAGCCTGGGAAAGCACTTGGAGCTGGTGACATCTGCTTGCCCTGACTGTCCATGTCTTGCAGGTCAGAGGAGCCATCTCCATTCACTTCACCCAGCAGCCTTGCTGGACACCCACTGCAGTGCGAGCAGTGGCACCCACAGACAGGGCAGAGCCAGGGAGGGAGGGCAGAGCCCACAGCAGGCACAGCCCGCAAGGGGAGCTCTGGAGCTGAGTCTTGAAGGACAAGAATGAGTTCATGTGTGGGAACAAGATTTGTGAATTATAAAGGGCTGTGCAAGTGGAAATGATTATTCTTATCATCATTTGTATCCGATTCATCCATCACCCAGGAGAGAGGGAATGCGAGTACCTTTTATCTGGCACTATGAATCAAGTAGAATAGGATATGTTTTTCCAAAAGGTTTTTAGGGTAAATGAGACAGTTTCTGCTTTTCAAAACAATCCATCTGGGGCCCTTGGCCCAATCTTGGCGTAGTGGGCATAAGTGAAATGTTTCTGAGGCTGAGGACAGCCCAGACCACAGGGGTCCCCCCGGAGTGTCAGCCTCAGGAAGGTTCCACCGCTATAACACTTCCAGCCCCTGCACTGCTGCCCATGCCGGCAGCTACTTGGACTTGACCTCAGCCTCAGAAAGCAGCCAGGCCAGTGCACGGGGCCTGGGGAGCAACAGGAAGCCTCTGCAGTCTCTCCTGTGGGGACCCAGCATGCCAGAGGCCAGATGAAGCATGGGTCCTGCTCCGAAATAGCAGCAAATCTCAGGAAGAAACTGTCACCCCTCTGAGGTCATCTGGGAAAGGGTCTGGTCTTTAACATGCATGCACACACACCCCTCTTTCTCTTTTACCCTGAGACCCAGCACCTTCCTGGCACAGGCCCTGGAGAGAAGCTGAGCAGGGGAGGGGAGGCCACCTGGCAAGGGGCTCCTGGCCATGCCACCTTCCCTGAAGGGAGTACCTGAGCTGCAAGAGGCCTCAGGAGTGGGAGAGTAACACTTCAGTCTTTCCCATGCTTGGAGAGAAGGTTCAAGATGAACACAGCTCATGGTGCAGTCAAGGCTGTACCAAGTCAGCTTTTTCATGCACACGTATGTCCCTCCTCTCAGCCTGGGCCTCCACAAAGAGGCAAGGGGCCTTGAGCTCTGCAGCAGAGAGCCTGGCCACAGGCAGTAGGGATCCAGGAGACAACGGGGATTTCTGCTGGGATAGAGACAGGAGAACATCATGGAGGAGGGGGCAGTGGGGCTGTGGGCCAAGCCGGGAAGGGGGCTCTGGGCAGAGTGAGAAAGGCCCTGGGCCAAAAGGAATGCATGTGAATGCAGAGGGATGGGGCGGCGGAGGCCAGGTCCTCAGAGACTCCTCACCGGGAGGGGAAACTGGAGAGAGAGTGAGGCAGGTTCTAGAAAGCCTCCATGCAGGCTCAGGAGTGGATGTCATCCTCTTGGCCTGGCGTGTCCACGAAAGCTTTCATGAGGAGAGTGCTTCTAGCTGTCATTAGACAAGCGTGTAGGGACAGACAGAGTGTGGTGGCAGGGGCAGGCAGGGCAGCTGCAGATTCTCAGCTATCTGCCCCATGAGCTCTGTGACCTTGGACAGACAGCCTGACTTTGCTGTGCCTCCATTTCTGCATCTGTGAAGTGGAGAAAGTGCCTCCCTCACATTGCTGCCGTGGGGCTGTGTGTGTTGATGCACATGAAACACTCACAGCCATCCTGGCACACCGCCCAGGCTCAGTGAGTGTCGGTGTGGGGGGAGGTGGTGGTGATGAGGGCCGGTCATCACGGTGGCTCCAGTCTGTTCCATTATCAGTAAGATGGGCGCTCACCAGGGAGGGTGCGGTGGGCCAGGGCCTTTCCCGCACGTACTGATGCTTTCTCTCGGGGCTGGGTGTGTGGGCACAGGTGATGGATGACCACAGCGTGATCGGCCGCTCCCTGTTCAAAAAGGAGACCAACATCCAGCTCTTCGTGGGGCTCAAGGTGTACCTGTCTACTGGGGAGCTAGGGGTCATTGACAGCGCTTTCGGCCAGAGTGGCAAGTTCAAGATCCACATCCCTGGTGAGTGAAGTCATGGGCACTGTGCGGGCCACAGAGAGATGATGGAGACGGTGCCCAGCTGCTACCACTTGGCTCCACTCTCTAGCCTGCCTGTGCTGATGCACAAGGCTCAACCCACATGGCGTCATGGCTTCTGGTCCTACCGGCTTGTGGCTGGAAAGCCAGTGTGGGGCCTGGAGTCAGCGTCTGGGCTGAGCCAGGGTCAAGGTCTGAGTCTGAGTTCCTATGCCACCGTCTCCATCTGAGGATGACTTTGCATACGTCACTTGGCTTGTCTGTGAAGTGGGGATACCATTGTTGATCTGGAAGGAAGAGCGTTGGTGAGAGAGATCACCAAGGGCTGGCACGCTGCCCCGGCAGCTAGTAGGGTATCCCAGAATGTGAGCTGCCACCTTCTTCCGAGACCAGCAGGCTCCAAGCCTCTGCTTGTTCTGATTTGGGACTTGTCCGTGGCAGAGTCAAGGGTGTGCGTTTGCTGCAGGAAGGAGAGCCTTTGGATTTCTCTAGTTCTGCTTGCCCTTTGTCACCATTTTCCTAAGGTCCTGCTATGCACCAGGCACAGTGCTATGGTCATGGGAGGGGACAGACGTGAACACGCTCAGTAAGTATAGACTGTGTGCTGTGCAGAAAAATAAAGTGGGGAGAGGCCCAAGACTTCCTGAGCGTGCTGACAGGGCAGTCGGGCGAGATCTTGCAGAGGAGGCTACAGTTGTGTCGGGGCCTGGCTGAAGGGAGGGATTGCGTGCACAGATCCCTAGGGGAAGAACATTCTGTGGAGAAAAGGACACAAGTGCGCAGGCCCCGAGGTGAGGACGATCTTGGCTGCGTTTGAGGACCGGTCGTCGGGCAGGAGTGGCACAAGTGGGGTGGTGTGTGGGATCCCGGTGGGGCTCTGCCGCAGCGCCTGCAGCAGGGTAAGGCCTGAGGGGTGTTTCCATGTTAGCGAGTTTACGTGATGCACCGTGAGCTGCTATCTTGTATCCCCAGTATTGTGTTAAGACAGTTTTCAAGCCCGCTGCAGAGTTGAAGGATTTCACAGTGAGCTCCCGTAACCTGCCCCTGACCTGACGTCAGCGTGTTGCTCTGCACGGCTCTGCACTGCTCTGCATGGCTGTGGGGTTCTGAGTTTTATTCTGTGGGGAGTGGAAAGCCATGGGGAGGTTTGGATCAGGTCAGCAACATGATCTTGGTCTGTAGCTTCTTGAGTAAAATCTGATAGGGTGGCGCCCTGGCCCCAGTTCGGGAGCAGGAATCCCAGCTCCCTGGCAGCTCACCAGGCGAAGTCAGCGCCCTTCACTCTCCTGAGAGCCTGGCCAAAGGCCTTGCCTCCTGAATCCTTCCTAAAGGCCAGAGGGCTGTGTGTGGCATTTGCCCTGTAGTGAGGGAGAGCAGTGGTCGCCAGAGGCCTGCTTCCCTGCAGCACTCGACTCCGCTGTTTGACTGTGCCCCGAGGCCTCCATCAAGGTGAGGCTGAGCCCATCACAGATGGAGAGACGCTGATGGGGCAGGCAAAGTGACCCACTCATGGGAGACTCCAGTCATGACGCCAGGCATCAACCTCCTGTCCTGTCCTTTACTGCTCTCCAGCTGCTCCTGGTCATTACCACAGCCAAACTGGGCCCACAGTGCCCTGCTCTGGGCTCCAGGGAGCACACGCAGGGCATGAGCTGGACAGGCCAGTGTCCAGACCTCAGTCCCCAGGGCCCTGGGCCTGCACCTATGGGAGTTCTCTGGGCAGGAGGGGCACAGGGCACTGGGAGGGCAGGGGGAGCTGCCTGGAGGGAGGGGCCACACCCCAGAGCCCTCCTCCCTCCCCCAGGCCTCCTGGAAGGAGGGCACCGTCATTTCCTTCTTGTGGGGTGGGTGGGATCGTGTGTACCTTCCCCTCAGCTCCCCTTCCTTAGGCAAGACTCAGAGCTGGGTGTTCCCAGAATAGGCCCGAGCCAAGAAGAGCCTGTGTGGGGGCTCTGGGTGCTGGGGTGGGAGTGCAGGGAGGGGAGACGTGGGGACGCTGCTTCAGTCAGTGAGGTCACATTCCTTCGTTAGGTCAGTGCTGCCTTTTTAATAGGTCTGCTTCCTGTTAGTGGCTTCTAAGCTTTTTATTAAATATAACTGGTCAGATTCCTTCATCCCACCCACCCCCACTCCCCACCCCCACCTCCTGCTTGTCTTTTCCTGCCGATTCCTGCCATAAAGAATTACTTTTAACCTTTTGAAGTGCCTTAATTGTGAAAGAAACTTCAGTAAACCCGAGACATCCAGTGCCAGGTGGAGGAGGAGAGAGTGTTGCTGGCTACGAGTTGGAAGTACTGGGGTGGAGAAGCCCAGGGTTTGGTGCTGCACAGTTTAAGGCTCCAGGCCAGATCCTGGATGGGGCTGGGTTCATATGTGGCTTATGGGCCTCACTGCCAGCTCTGCAGGGAGACCTGGTTGGCTGGGGAAGACAGACTGAAGAGTCCCCTGGTTGTCCTCCCATCTGCCTCTGACGCCCAGGCCCCAGTGCACTCTCGGACCTCTCGGTCCAAGTGCCGACAGCACCAAGCAGGTGTGGAAGAGGCCAGGTGGCAGATGATAGGGAATGGTGGGGACTGTGGTGACCTAGAGAACTGCTGCTCGAGTCCAGCTGACTCTCGCTATGTGAGAATGTAGGCTCAAGAATTTAATTTTGTCTGATTTAATTTTTATGTAAAATTTCCTGATTAAAAACTAAAACTGTCTGAACTAAGCAAAACATGCCTTTGGGCTGGGTTTGGCCCACAGTGACTTGTAACTCCTACTTGAATTTCAGGAAGGACACGTGGTCCTCAGATTCACAGGTCGGAGGGGAACCGTGATGTGGAAACTGTTTCCTGGAGCCGTAGACACTGGCCCCCTGAGAGAAGGGTCCTAACACTGGGCCCATTGCTGCCGCAGAAGTTACTCTGGGCAGTCACAGGGGCTGGAGGGACAGCCCTATCCTGACACCCAAGGAGCCTTCCCAAAAAGTCTTGCGGGGGCGCCTCAGGGTTGAAAAGCCCCACATTTACAAAACCACTCCCTTCAAAAAAGTTGCCTCTGTCTGAAGGCCTGGGAGGCTGGGGAGCCATGTGAGATGGGTTAGGAGCCCACGGGGCAGCACTGCTGGTAGAGAGAACAGCTGGAGGACTTTGCCAGGCAGCGCAGAGGGTCCTCCAGCAAACAGACCACTCCTGTCCGTGTCAGCATCACTGCACTCTGCGTGCTGCCTCGGTGCCCAGTGCTTTCTCACGGAGCTAGGTCTCCTGTTTCCATCCTAAGGTGGGGCCTGTGGAGCAGAGGGGCTGAGCGCCTCACCCACAGCCTGTCTGGGTGTGCAGCCTCTGCCTGCCCCTGTCGGCCCCTGGAGAGCAGTCAGGGCTGCAGAGAGCTCGGCGCCGTGGGGCCTGCATGTGGTTGGAGATGCTCCCGTGCTGGGAGGCTCGTGGAGCCAGTCGGCTCCCACTGCTCACCTGGCCAGCCCTGTCCTGCTACTCCCACCCCCACTCCAGATCCATGTCCCATGTGCCGGCTCTCATGCTGAGAGGCAGCCTGGATGACAGGCTGGGACAGCAGCTCCTGCCAGCCCCACACATCCCACTTTGCAGGAGAAGCAAACTCCTTGATGACTTCCAACCAGAGAAGAGTCAAGGGAGAGGATGAGTGGACTTATCCCCACGACAGCTGTGAGTCACTTCTTATGGAGTCTAGGAGAGAAAGCAAATGTCTGCATGTGATTTTATCTTCTGCAACAATGCCTCATAAACCTAAAATTACTCAGGAGGTTGTTATGTGTACCTTGATAGACGTGGCAAGCTTTTTGAGTGGTAGGTAGTAGGTGGTAGTGGTAGGTGGCCCATCTCCCACGAGGTGCTCCTGGACCTGCCAATTTGGGGAGGATTGTGTGTAGTCTGCTTTAGCAGTATGGGTGGGGATGGTCCCCAGTGCACATGATGCTTACAGCCTTGTCACTGGAAAACTCGAGGTCCCAAGTACCACTGTGTGATGTGGGTTACTGGCCCTCATCAGGTGACCACACAATTCATAGCAAATGAAACTGACCATGTACCAGAGCTTTGAGCAGACACTCGCCTTGGAAAAGCCAGAGCAGCAGTGACTGAGAACCATAGACACTGGTGGCCACAGGAAGGGCCTCGTCATGTCCGTGGGACCTGCCCCACCTGCTGAGAGTCCAGCACTCCACTTATGTGTCAAGAACTTGATCTTGTTGTGGGGCAGCCAGATTCTCCATCAAACCCTGAGATGGAGATCTCGGGTCCTGCTAATTTTCATTTAGGATCATCAAATTTTGGTGATCTTTAATAACCTTTTAATTATTACTAATCACAATTTAATGGACTCTAGGCAAATGCAAAAAGAAAAAAATAAATCTGTAGAATTGTACTTCCAGTGAGAATCCAGAAGCTTCTTCAGGAGGAGCTAACACTCAGGAGCCATGACAACAGTTAGAGGAGGCCCTAGGAAGCCCTCAGAAAGGTTGACTATTGCATATACCCAGGCACTCGGAGTCTCCCCATTTCACAGATGAGGAGAGCAAGGCCTAGAGGATACGAGTGCAGCCTGCCCAGCGTTACACAGTAGTAAGCATCAGGGCTGGGATTTGAACCAGAAGGCCTCACTCTGGACCACTCTGCCCAAGACTCCCTGAGCCTTGGTTCCTCATGTGCAGGGCTAGTGGTGAGGTTTGGAAGTGCAGCTCGGTCCCTCAGGCTATGTGGGAGGAGGGAACTGTTGTGGTCATACTGTTTGGTGGGCCCTTAAGCAGAGGGCCTGTGAGATTGCTGCTGATGGGATGGGGAGGCTGGTGTGTGGCCCCTGGGAGACTGGCTGGATGTCAGGAGAGCCACCACCTGCTCACCTCTCAAGGGTGTCTGAAGAGGGTCCCCAGGCCATCTTGGCTTCAGCTTCTGCCCCCTGAGCCAGCCCCCAGTGGTTGAGGACTTCGGTGTACCATCCCAGTCACAGTTTGTCAAGCCAAAGGGGAT